CCGTGCATTTCATTATTAGATTCTTTAATTGTTTCGGTCGTGCATTGATGCTGTTTTGTTTAGACTGTTGGAGATGCTTTCCCCCTCCTAACAGTACCGATAAACAAAATTGCATCGACAAATAAAACCGACCTGTGTTCTGGAGTATAATCGTGGAATGGGAGGTGTAGACAAGCAGGACCAATCTCTTGCATGTTTCCCCCTCATGAGAAAATGTGCAAAAGGATATAAAAGAATATTTTTTTATATGTTTGATGTAGCTATTTATAATGCTTATGTTTTATATTCCAAATTGCCTACTTCACAAAAGCAATCGATTGTGAATTTTCGATTGAATATTGCAGAAGACATGCTTTGTAATTTGTCCCTGCCGGACTATCCGACACGCGGCAGACGGTCGCAAAGTGAATGCCCAACTCGGTTACAAGCAAAATATTGGACACATTTTCCTGAACATATACCCGCGACAAATAAAAAGCAACATCCTGCAAAAAGATGCCATGTTTGCGTAAAACATAATATAAGAAGTGAAACAATTTGGCAGTGTAAAATATGCCTCGTTCCGCTACATATTACTAAATGCTTTGAGATGTATCACACATTACAAAATTATTAAATTATTATTTTATACTATTACTTATAATTGTTGTACACTAACACTATACTTCAACCCTATTGAATGTTATATAGCAATGTAACTTTAAAAAGAAAAGGCCCTGTTTCTGAGCTTGTACATGAGTGTCCAGTTGAGCCAAATTAAATAGTATTCTTCGGACGCGTCGATGCACATTTTATTCGTATGTCAAGTGGTTAATATTTATTTCTTGGAAGACTCGATACATTTTCTTGTTTTTGCGGATAGAAATATTATAACAAAAATAATCCGTCATTTTTAATCTCAGTAGCAACTTAGGCTTAGATCCTTATCATAGAGACGGGAGAAGCTAACATAACTATCTACGGTATAAATAATAGATACGGTATCGTAACAGTTAACAGATTTTGCTATATTCTGTCTTGCTATAATTGTCAGTTCTTATGCTCCTCACGGGGCCAATAAGAGCGGTAAAAAGATTGATCTTTCGAATAAAAAAGAAACCAGCACACGCGCACAGGTTTCCAATGGTTCCGAACAGCGAGGCAAACGCGAGCGGTAAACTAACTAATCCGGGCCCGATTAACAGGCTCGTAAAATAAGAAGTAAGAAATTCTACGAACCTCCGACAGTGTAGAAGCGTCACCATGACCACAGCGCCGATGCCAGCCGACACCAGGGACACTATCACGAGCGTGAGCACCCAGCCCAGCTCTCCAGGTGCTTCTGCAAGAAACGGAGAAAGTCGGGATATTAATACAATGTCTCTCTGTGACGCAGCAGGCAGTAGGTGTTAACAAACACCCGCGGACTAATTTATTCAAGCCGGCGGGTCGTTAAAAGTTCGAGCGAAAGGGAAACCCGGTCCAGGACGCGGCAACAAAACAATAAACTGCGCGCGCGCGCGCGGTGCCATTTATTTAGTCCGGCCTGTGCACGCTCGGTAAATACTGGGAACGATCAAATATTTTTTAACGGCGGTGTACATAAATACGGTAAACGTAATAAAGACGCTATAAAACCACGATCGCATGAATTCGCGACCATTCCCGCGGCATTCCGCGGCTCTCGAGATACCTTTTCAATAACCCGGTCCCATAGGCGCGCACTTAATTAATAAAAATGAGAGATTTCACGCGGCGTGGACGAGGACGTCGGGCAAACGCGAACGGACTACTTCCGAACGTTACCATCGGCACACCCGCTGCGACAAACGCCCGGGGAATGGGTCCCGGATAAATTAGTCGACGGCCGGTCGCGTGTTAGGTTCGCGGCCGCGCGAATACGCTCGGTAATTGGGCCGCGGTCTTGTTCACCTCGTCCGGTATCCGCGCAGCGGGACGCCCGCAGCTTTATTACGCGAGCTTCGGCATTATTTCTGCGGCACACCTACCGAAACCCGGCTTCCCCGCCGACTTTTTCAGCGGGGCCCGAGCCTCGCGTGTAACGATACACGAAATTATCGTTCGCGTGGACGTAATGGAGATACTGGGACTTCGCCGGCAAAAATGCCCCTCGCTTTCACGGGGAACGCGTTTCTTTTTTTCGTTTTTTTTGGAATTATACGCCGACTTTATGGTTCCGAACACAATCCCCGTGCAATTCGATAAATCATCGTTTTTGTTAGTTCGCGCCGTGGCGCGCGTTGCTACCTTTTCCCCAAAAAGTTGACGGTCATTCGTAACCTCGTACGATTTTTATGAAAATCGGCGAATTTGTGTTTTCGAGACTGTTGAATCGAACGACGCTCGGATGAACGCTACTGACGCGAACAGTGCTTTTAACTCGTTTTTTACTTTGTGATTATCGATAATTTTTCGGTATTTGGCTATAATTGCGTAATTAGAACGGAGAATTGAATATGACGATCTCAACATTAGGTTTACGGAGCAACGAAAATAGCTATTTATATTCCTTCGTGAAAATAACAAGCTTGTATGGATCCTGATTTTTAACCATTTTTATCGGGATACGTGTCAATAATTTATTGGATAAATTGTCCGCAAACATCTCTTTTAATTTAAATAGTTGTACATAAAAAAATTTTTGGATCGCGACATTTTGAGTTCATCTTTATAACATATACTTTAATGGTTAAATGTTTCACAAATATCTTGTTTAAGGATAAACTTTAGCTGAAACTTTAACTTATTCGCATCCTAAACGTCCTGGTAAAACTCAGTTAGCTCGAATATGGTTCGATAAAATGAATTTTGAAACCTAGTCAATAATTTTGTGGAATTTGTTTGAAATGAAAATCATATGTATATTTGCGCAGACTGCAACAATCTGCAACGAAGTAGAATATTTTTAAACGTTTTTAATATATTTATTGCTGTTCGTTTCCTCTGCTCATAATAATTGTTAATATTAAGTTAGTTGTGAAAAGTAATTCGATTTTATTGATATCTAGTTTTTTTAGAAATGAATTTAATTCATATATTCGCGGCGCTATGAAGGAAACTGCTATTGACAGCGACTAATTATTTGAACTATCGTCGAATCTATCGGTTAGATCGAACAAAATTTAAACGATTCTTCTTGGTAAAATTGTGCATACGCCACAAATGACGCAGATCAACTTGAACTTTATGAAAAAAAAATCGTAAAACAGTCGCGGCGAGTCCTCTAATTGCTAAACGCATTTGACGCCAACGTAAAAGCCGGGAATCAGCGCCAGCTAGTTTAAGAAGCGAATTATAAAGAGGATTCCTCTGACATAGTTTACCGAGTAAACCTGGTCGAAATAGGCATTTGCCCGCCGTCCTCGCGTCGCGTTTCTCGCTCCAAGTAAATTACATCTTCGCTTCTATTTACGATCTCGGCGGCAGTAAAATTGGCCCCTCGTCGACCCGTTCCGCGGGAAACGCGGTCCGATCGAGCCTCTAAATTAGGAATCAGGCAGAAATGTTTCATTAAGGGATTAAGATATCGCGCGGAATCGGCAGAAGCAGCCTGCTAATGAGCGTCGCTCGCGAGCCTACGAACTGTGAGAATCGCGGGGCAGACGTACTGGGAACTGGTTAAATCGTCGTGTTCAGGAATCTGTGCGATAGTGTGCAGGAAATTATTGGTTCGAGCCAGAGGTGAGACGAACTGTACCATCGCGAAACCGCTCGATTATCCACCGATATCGTTTCTATCTGTCAGCCACGGATCGCGACGATTTCTTAAATAACATAAATTCGGCTTAGACATTTCAGATTTGGCGAAGCAAAAGTTGGGAATCGTTCTTAGCCGACGTTCGGGCGTTCTAAATAAAAAAAATTGATAATCTTTTCTACTATTGAAATATATATATATATACAGGGTGTCTAAAAAATGTCTTGCAATCCGGAAATAGCGGGTTTCTCGGATCATTTGAAGCAACTTCTTCCTTTACAAAATTTTTCTCCGAGGCACCGTTAACGAGTTATTGACGAAAAACAGTGACCAATAAGAATCGAGTTCGGCTGACGCGAGGCGGCCCAACCAACCAGCGCACGAAGCCCAGTTCCGCTCATTGGCTCGGTCGCCTCGCGCTAGCTGAGCTGGGATTCGACCGCCTCGACCGCTGGCGCCATTGGCTCGACCGCTGGCGCCGTTGGCTCGGTCGCCTCGCGCCGGTTGAGCTCGCCTCTCATTGATCACTGTTTTTCATTAATAACTCGTTAATGGTTCCTCGGAGAAAATTTTTGTAGAGGAAAAAGTTGCTTGAAATGATCTGAGGAACCCGCCACTTTCGGGACACCCTGTATAAGAATGTTTTGTGCTTTAAATCTAGTTCAATCCTGGGCACATTTGAAATATTGCTTCAAATAACATGTTATTTTATTTCATAATTATTTCCATGCCTGTGATCACTTTTGAAACAACAGCATTTCAAATATTATTTTAAACAACGTATTATTTTCTTTTATAAGATAGTCGAGATAATTTTGAAATTCTTTTTAAAATACATTCGATGATCTAATTATCTGCTACGAGCCTGGTTTAAACTGTTATTCTCGTTCGTACCTTAACGAGATTAAAAGACCGATCTGACTATGTTAAATGATTATCCAATAATAAGAAGCATTTTTCCGAATAATAACTCCCCTTTTTCATCTAAAGATTTCTTCAAATAAAATCTTTTCGTCACATATCATTTCAAGGATTATATCTTTACGAACAAAGGAGGTTTGTTTAAAGTAAAGTTTGTCGATGCGAAGATTGCTTAAAATGAAACCTTTTCGTTCCACATCACTCTTCGGTGAACTTCTCCTGTAATATTTGAGCTAAAAGAAATAACAAAATTGAAATTGTAACAGCATCATAAATAAGAGTTTAAAATCAAATTTGCGAAGATCTGATCTGGTCCAGCAATGTATTTCATGAAGAGGAATACTTATAGTGCTGTTAGTGGTACTAATCGCCGTTGATCCAACTTAGCCGCTGATCCCAGTAAAGGGCTTCCGCGCTAAGTGTACAGCGAGATGTAGATCCACAAGATAACGCGGAGCTATAAAGAAGAAAGTGACGTTAAACATTTACATCTGAATGGCTCGGTTGAACCTGCGGGTTCCGAAGAAAGGAAAAAGGGTCGCACAGCTCCGGGCTCGCGCGTCAGTTCATCCCTCCGAGCGGCACCCCTAAACTTCAAACATGGTTGCCGCAATCCCCGAGTTTCTATTATCGCAAGGACGCCTAACATATTCATGACCTAGTCATCCGGACGAGCAGGACGCGGCTACGTCCAGAAAAAAGGCCAGGGATCTTCTTAGACGCGTTCTCGAAACCAGTCCCATCCACCCCTCGGCCGCGATATTGACTCATAAGAGTCTCTATAACCCTAAAAGCGTTATTGTGCCCGGTTTGTTGTGTTTGTCGCCTCGTGCAGAAACGAGCGCGTCGCCGTGGCCCGCCGATGTCCCGATTGTTCGCGACAGAGAGGACACGAAAGGGTTCGCTCGAGAGTGAAAGAGGGGCGCTTGTAATCCGCTGCCGGCGCTCGACCCTGAGAATTCACCGCTAGAGCAGCTCGCTCGTGACTGTGGCCCGGTCGGACAACCGGCTAGAGTCGTGCTCCATTCACGTGGCTGTTTCGGAGCTGTTCGCCAACAGCCCAGGCCCTTTGTTCGTCCCTCGGCCTCCTCTCCGCCGGACGACATTCGAACAAGTTGGATGAATTACGTGGCCGGCTCCCGGCTCCCTGGGCCTCGCCGGTAATCAATGATTGGGAGAGGATCATCTATGATGTTGCCTTCAACAGATCCTATCTTCTTTAATAGATCGCGTTCGTTCGGCTTCACGAATTCGACGACCCTGGACCGCTAATGAAATCTCTTCGAGAAGGGGATGTCGAGTAGGTGTCAGCGGGGTCGAAAGTAACGATTTGTCTTGGAATTACGATTGCGCAAAAACTATTGCATTTGCAACAAAAAGATTTATGCCGAAACGTTGGCCGTTTGTAAGACATTATTTAAGCGTTAAGTAATGTTTTTAAGTTATTCGCGAAAGATGGAGACCCGAAAAAGTGTTTCGGGGGAGTAAAGATAAATCTTCGGAATTTACACGTTGTTCTTATTTTTAGCTTTCTTCGATGGCTCTATTATCTCCTCCTCTGTTCTTCTTCACATTCTGTTCCCATTTTTTGTTTTCTACAAATGTCAGTCTGGACGGTTGATTTTTTAATGACGTATAGCTGATTTCAATGTTACTTTCGATCCTGACCATGATTGTAAATTAAGTTAAAGATTGCCGTAAAC